AAAAAAAAAAAAAAATTAGTCAGGGGACCCCCACAGATCAGCGGGCAAAGCCAGCGACTGATTAATGGACAAACAGATGCTGTGAATCGTTTAACGCTTGACTTTTTCAAGCCTCTAGCGGTAAATTTTCATCATTGTTATTGATCCATGCTCGAATTATTCTGTCATTTACGACTTAAGAGTAAAAGTAATTGCGGGGGCTCAGAAGTCCGTCGGGATACCTTTTTCCACATCGTACAGCGCGTTTTCTCTTCTCCTTTTTGTATGCATTTTCCATGCATTTAACGCTGGATGTGCACTGCGAGAGCAAATTACCGTTGCAAGCGTGAAAACGTAGAAAACATCCGGAATATAGTCCGCGTGCTGAATTTTGGCGAGTCATCTTTCGTTCTGTGGATCCTTTTATCGATTTGGATCGACGTTTCTTATTCTTGCACATGCAAGTGTATTTTTTTTTCTTAATTTTAGACGTTGGATATTTTATAGAACGACTAAGAGCATATTTTTATAAATGTCCGATCCCTTGTGTGTGTTTGGAGTAAGTCAGCACGATAATTTTAGAATATAAGCGCGGCACGCGATTCGTTGTTCAGCTGATATTGTTAGGCACTTCTGAGTCCTAGCAATATTCTTGTAATGTACAGTCTGTTTATAAACAGCACGATGCTGAGGTGAGAAATATTTAAATATCTAAATGAATTAACGATGTATAGTATATTGATATCTCCACTTGAAGCGTTGTCGAGACCATACGTTTTATATAATCGGGGGATTCGAGAGATTCCGGAAGTCCCAGCCAGTAACACACGTTGAATTTAGCGGGTAGCTTTTCAGGACTTAACTTTTAGGTCTTTTACTCTTTGAAGCTGACGTGATATAATCGTGATAACGTGAATCTTTACCGTAATAACGCTTCACTTTGTGTAAGTCGACTAGCCGCTGGCTTTGCGGTAGGGTGACCAGACTTAATCCCGATTTCACTTCCAGAATATTCACACTGGGATTACAGAATTGCTAGTCTACGATCAATTTTCACTCTTTTTAGGAAGGAACAATTTTCCGTGTACGCTAGATTGGCTGCGATTCTAGTAGCAGTCAGTTTGTCGGATGATATTTCGAATAAGTCGCGCCATTTTTCACTCGAAGCTTTTTATTTGATAAAAGTAGATTCGATTATCGCTTAAAAAGTAATTCAACACTTGGATGATTGTCGTACAAGACACACGAGTCATTCGCGTTATACATTTCATGCATTCTAAGAATGTATAGATTCTTTTTCTTTTATCTTAATCTTGAAATGACTTCTTCGAGACAAAACAGGTCCTTTCACGATTTCACTTCAATCGATACGAGTCTCTCTTGTTTTTCTCCGAAATCTGGTTACCCTAATTTTGTGAATATACTGTAAAATTAGATAGGGATCATTCATAGGGATGATATAGACGCTTGCAGTATCGAGAAGAAAGCCAAGTCAAATTCGAAAAATCTCGCGACATTTTTAGAAGTACATTTTGCGAAAGATAAGTGTGTGACGTTTCTACGTTTCATTATGGAGTTAATGAGTAATCCGTACCGTGTCTGCCATGTCGTTCTATTTTATCTCTTTCTCATCGCGAAAAAAAAAACAACAAAGAGAATATCAGATATCGCGAAGATTATAAACAGACTACCGTTGGATTCTGATGTATATTTTATCTACAGCACCCACCACGTTTCTCAATAAGCATTAATTCAAGTTTGAATGTCTACTGCACAAACTAATTACCTTAATCAATGTTATTACGTACTTATAAATTAACAATAATTATTATATTTATCGCGTTTTATAAAAATGTATTCTAATATAATTAAACCAATAAATTTACGAATAGTTATTATCGCAATCACAATTTTATTTCAAACTTTACAAATTAGAATCTAAATTTTTCATCTCACCCGTACATCTCCAGCAACTCTTTTTTCTTTCTGGCTAGCAGAGCCTTTTGAATATCTTGTTGCGAAGGAATTGACTTTTGTGATGTCGTTTCAATGTCGGCTTCCGGTTCCTTCTCACGAGCTATCCAATCTTTGACGAACTTCTCTCTCGCTTCTTTCTCCGCTTTCTGTTCCAACGGCACTAGAATACCATCATCGTCGTCCATATAACCATAATAATCTGCATCAATATCCTTCATCAGCTCTGCGCGAGTTTTCCGAGGGGGTGGTGGTGGTTCTTGTTCGAATAATTCTCGAACGCCGGGTAATTCTTTGGCAGCGCCAAAATATTTATAACCTCGATTGCCAGGAACCTGTTCGATCAAGTCATCTTATTTGTAGAAGAAATGGGATATGAACATACAACATGTCCAATGAGCATTTAAAGATCAAAAATAAACTGATTCAATCATTTCTCTCTCTTACAATATTCATTTAAACATGCAGTAAACTTAAAATATCTTGCAGATTGTAGAAATAATACCTTCGATACTTTACCTCGCGTCCTTCATGATCTAACATGCGAGGACCGACTCTAGAATAATCAGGTCCACCGAGTTCTTTGATTTGTACTTCCCAATGTCGCTTCTCTCTTAATAACTTATTAATCTCATCGTTTAAATCACGAATGCGAAACTCTCCAAGTCCAGCATTTTGAATCTGGGCAACTTTCTTTGCTATTTCCCTAATTATTTGCATCCTCCATTTTTCTGCTTTGCGTAAATCTCTACATTCTGAAGCCAAATACGGCCTTCGTTCCTGCTCTTTTCTCGCTCCTTCGTTATTTTGTGCTGCTCTCCAACGAGCAAGTGTTGTCCTACAAATATCATTAATTATAGATATTAAAAATATTATTATTAATATATTAAATCTATTACACATATATATATGAATGGATTTATTATGTATATGTACTTACATAGCCTTTTCTGCATTTCGTGCCTGAAAAACAAATCATCTAATTAGATATGTTTAATAAAATACGTAACATTATTTTATACATTATCATTATTATACACTACCATTTTTAATTGATGTTCTTATATACACTATGATAAATAAATCTTGTGGGTGTTACTATTATTGACAGTGGCTTTAAACCGGCATCAATGAAACTTGTTGACATGTGTTGAAAACAATCCAGAAAATATATCTTACATAGAGAATACACTTTTCATACAAAAGTAGAAGCCAGCTTCAACGACATCTGGTTTCAGTATCTTACATTATACTGTGACATTATGGACGATTCACACTGCGTCAGATATGCGACATTCGATGTCCAATAACAGAGCTTGTTTTCTAGGAATACAAGCTAGAATTCCTAGAAAACAAATTCTGTTATTGGATATCGGATGTCGTACATTTAATGCAGTGTAAATACTCTATTAGGGTATATTCAAACAAACTTGCGTTGTGTACATACACCTGGCAAGTCTCGCAAATCTTGCGTACATTTGCGATCTGACAATATTTAGTTAAGACAACTGTCGCATGACTGTTTGCGAGACGTCTTGTCGTCATCATGAAAACTTATTATTACTGTTTATCTTAGCTGGCACCATCGCTATATACCACTATTTCTTTAAGGGCTTAAACCACGGACTAAGGAATAGAGGGACGGACATTGAGTAAAAAGAAACAGGAGGGAGCATATACTAGCCAGGACTAGGTAAATCCGCGGACGGATGTACGTCATGGCAGCCATCTTGAGCGACCACTTTTTGAAAGTGAGAGGGAATGCTCGAGCATAGCGGCAAGCGG